ATCATTCAATATTTTGCCCATAGAATACTTCAACATTGCAACTCAAAGCTTAAATTTTTTTTTCAGTTATTTCAGCTTGAGAAATATTGAACATGTTCTTCCCTTTTGGTTTTCTAATTCCAGTCTTTGTACATTTCATTATAATACTTACTTTGTCTTCTCTAGATGCCTTTTGAAATGTTCTGTTTGGCTATTTTACTCCATAATTTCTTCCATTCTCTTTACTTACTCTACCTTCAAGAGCAAGTTTCAGAGTCTCTTCTGACTTTAACTTTGGTCCTTTCCTTGTTTCTTGCCTTTTTTAATGAACTTTTGCCTTCTTCGCATATGATGTCCTTGATGTCATCCCATAACTCATCTGGTCTTCGGTCCTTAGTGTTTAATGAGTCAAATGTATCCTTGTGATAGCCTCTAAATTTAGGTGGAATATACTTAAAGTCATACTTTGGCTCTCCTGGATTTAATTTACTTCAGCTTCAGCTTGAACTGACATATGAGCAATTGATGGTCTGTTCTGAAGTTGGCCCCTTGCCTTGTTCTAACCAATGATATCAAGCCTCTACATCGTCTCTTTCCAAACAGATGTAGTCGATTTGATTCCTGTGTATTGCATCTAGTGAGGTCCATGTGTATAGTCACTGTTTATGTTGTTGAAAAAAAGTATGTCCAACGAATAGGTAGTTGGTCTTGCAAAATTCTATAACGTGATTTGGTGCATTGTTTTTATCACCAAGGCCATATTTTCCAAATACTGATTCTTTTTCTTGGTTTTCAACTATTGCATTCCAATTATCAGTAATTATCAATGCATCTTGATTGCACATTTGATCAATTTCAGACTCAGAAGTTGGTAAAAATCTTTAGTTTGTTCATCTTTGGCATTAGTGGTTGGGCTGCCAATTTGAATAATATTTTTATTAACTGGTTTTCCTTGTAGGTACATAAATATTATCCTATTGCTGACAGCATTGTACTTCAGGATAGATCTTGAAATGTTCTTTTTTACAATGAGTGTGACACCATTCCTCTTCAATTTGTCATCC